TATATGTCGTGTTTTTCGAGTGATCATCGAGACAATATTTTTAACCGTCTTTACTCCATGAGATCATTTTGTAATATGTCGGTAAGAGAGAGAGAGAGACGGACACGTGTGTTAACCATATGAATCGGCGGCCCCCTCAGAAGCCATATGCTATTCAAGTACGCTTCTGATTCAAGAGGTATACTTGAGAATTTAAGCGTGACATATAGGTAATAAAATTAATGGTAGGAGCCGGCGAACTTCTGTTAAGCCCTGTGTTCTATATTCCCGAACTGGGTAATAAATTTAATACTTGAAGATGTAACGGAAAGATAAAAGTTAGAAGTGGACTAGCGATTTAGTTTTAGATCTAATTTAATTATCCTTACATCCCCCCCCCCCCCAATTTTAAAATTGGAGTAACGGGGGGTGGTCTTTCTCTCTTACAAACATAGTAAATTTTCAATATATACAAAACAGTACATAACATAATATAGAAATACATTTTACACTTAGTAAATAGAATTAAGTAACACGAATAATAAAATCAAAATACAATACAATAAACGAAATTATAGCAATAAACAAAATAATAACATTTTCAAAATAATAATTGATAAAATGAAATTCCTTACACATAAATGTACATTAGCGTTTTCAAATCTATGTTTCATCCAGAAAAAGAGCTTAACGTTTCCTCCAAATCTTTCAAATTATTAGATTTGTGTTATCGCTAGCACATAGTCTATCTATGTGTAGTATATGTGTGAAAATTTATCATGTTAAACAATAATATAATTTTAAAAAAATACATGATATACAAATTTTAAGATACTAATTTTCTATTAAAATATACTCAGGCGCCTTCGTAATACTACTTAATTTTGTTACATAATAATATACATAGCTGAAATATACACTGTTAAAATATTAAAGCATAGGCATGAATAAAATGATATATAAACTGTTCTCATATTATTAATCATAACACTTAGACGCTATTCAACACACCAGACCATATTCCTTTTACATGTATTATAAGAATAAAGAATATAAGAATATAAGAGCTCTTTTATTTATCTCGATTCGAAAAGGGAAATTATCTCTAGAAAGAAATCTATCAGTCTTATAATAATTATTTTCAACAACACATACAAATTAGTGTAGTAAAATTTTCACCATATTCACTTTTACTTCAAATGATCACATAAAACATTTTGAATCTGTCTGTAACTTTTGCAACTTATTCATTTCATAGACAAATTTTTCTCCTTCGCATTTCATATTCAGTAATATAATTTGCTCCATACTAATACCAACACATTCTCTCTGACAAATCTGCGTGATCAATTCACAGATGTTCAGGGATGCTATTATGAAAACAATAAGAGGTATACAAATCAAACTAAATAAGCTTGTCCTCTTAATGTTTCAAGTTATATACAAAATCATAATGATTGTATTCTCTTCAATCCACTGTATCATTTCCAAAATCAAGTTGTTAAATTACTTTAATTTTAGACAAGGAAAATTTCGAGAAACAGTGAATCCTGATATGTGGCCAGTATATCAAAATACACAATTTCAATATGAGAAAAATTTAAATTTAGTAAAGTTACTGATGAATAAAATAATTAGCAAAATAATAAAATTCAGTGGATAAAACGAATGCAGTGTTACTTTAATTTTAATCTTCCTCATAATCAGTTTCCTTAATATTAGTACATTAGAGTGTCATTTCTCTAATAACTAACGTTATATCCTTTCAACTTTATAACACCAATACTTTCATATAATGATATAATTCCTTTAACAATTTAAAATAAAATAATGAAATACACACATTAAAATTTCTCAAAATTTTATAAATAATAAAACACACTCTACTTTCTCTTCTAAATATAAACATCACTTAACACAAAATTACCATATAAAAGTTTAAAATCATTTCTATTACTCTTCCTATCCGAAGAGTCTTTTTAAACAAAACTCAGTCACTTCTGTACTACATAAATGTAAACGAAGAATTTCACTGACCTCATTTCTTACATGCAGAGATTTTTGGTTGACGGTAATTCACATAACTTTTTTGTTGTTCGTTGATTTGATTTTGTGAATTTTTCGATGTTGCTCCTTCATTATTGGATTCGATGGTGATTTTTAATAATAATAACGATGTTGGTCTTCCGATAATGTATTCGATGTTGGTCAAATTCACATCGGGATTATCGCACATTTTTCCAAATGTTGACGCGCACTTCAATTTTTTTTCCTTTCTCGCCATCAGAGAACTTTTCTTTCATTCACGGCACACAACCCGACCTCTTCAGCAAAGACAGATACAGCGCGTCCCGGATTCCATAAAGTCCTTTAAAGCAGTTTCCATGATATTTGTCTGACTTTGGCGTCCGTTTTTTAAATGTTTTAAATTTTCGATGGCTTTACATTAAAGTTAAAATTAATTTGCAGGCTGCAGGTTTTATCCTTCCGGTATCCTACCGGCTTATTGCTGTCGTATTTTTCGAGTGATCATCGAGACAATATTTTTAACCGTCTTTATTCCATGAGATCCTTTTGTAATCTGACTGTAAGAGAGAGAGAGAGAGACGGACACGTGTTAACCATATGAATCGGCGGTCCCCTCAGAAGCCATATGCTATTCAAGTACGCTTCTGATTCAAGAGGTATACTTGAGAATTTAAGTGTGACATATAGGTAATAAAATTAATGGTAGGAGCCGGCGAACTTCTGTTAAGCCATGTGTTCTATATTCCCGAACTGGGTAATAAATTTAATACTTGAAGATGTAACGGAAAGATAAAAGATAGAAGTGGACTAGCGATTTAGTTTTAGATCTAATTTAATTATTTAGTTTTGTAAGACATTGATGTAACTAACGAGTATAAAATTATCTCGTGGAACCCAAGATAGTAAATATATATATATATATATATATAGATGTACACATCCTACTTTGTGAGTATTCTATTATTTACTAACTTGGGTTCCACGAGATAATTTTATACTCGTTAGTTACATCAATGTCTTACAAAACTAAATAGTCTCCCAACGGAACATGTATCTTCTTACGTTTGTGGAAAACAACACCTTTAGTGAAGGAAAGGGAACAACATATCAACAGAGTTGCCGTTAAAATCTAAATTTAAGCAAGGACAACTTCTAAGTTTTAGTTTGCAAAAATTAATGCAAAATACACGAGATTTCTCATTTGAATGTCGTTCAGAAAATTGTGTTTAAGTGAAATATAACATAAGTGGCTACAAAAACAAATTTTAAAAACAAATTAAACTGGGATTATGTATAATGAACAATTACATTTAATCTCAATAGACCTAGATTTCGGCAATTCGTGTGAAAAAAACAATCACTAAATCTATCAAAATCTAATCTGTCTAATCTAAATATATCACTAAAACAAGCAGCACCTATCCATCCATTACTAAATATAATGCATGGATAGGTGACACTTGTATCACAAATTAATATTTTGAATAAATAAATTACATTAAAAATTTTATTAGAATTTTTTAATAAAACAAATGCAATAATTTTTCTAACTAACTTTACATAAAGGACCCATAACGCGTTGATCTACTTTAAATATTATTTAGGGATATATTCTTCTAAGCATGTGTATGGAATGGGGTTTTACGAAAACACTTTCTAGTTCTAGGGGTTCCACAAAATCACCTTCAAGTTTTAGGGGCTCCGGGGGTTGGAAAAGCTTGAAGATCACAGAGTTAGAAGAATGAGGTGCCTTTCAGGTGTCATCTATGTCACTTGAACATGGCTCGAATGACGAAGTACTTCACCGATATCCCTTTAGTCATTTTATAATGTGCTATAGCAAAAGATGGTGTAGATCAACCAACTAGGCAGTCGGCCCCTTACACCTATTCAGAACTGTACTCCACCTGCATCAATAACATGCAATCACCTATTCCTTCTACTCATCACTGGTATGAGGCTAAACTCCCGGGTGGTTCTCTTTCCCTTCAGTGCAGCTGGCAGGAACAAACTATTCTAATTGGTTTCCGAACCACCTCCGAACTTTGAATTTTACGGATAGAAAAAAAATGTTTTTCCGACTTGTGTTAGATGTTCTGCCTGCCAGGCATCTCCAGAACACATTCTCTACTGTCTGGGGCTTACTAAACAAGATCTACGTGAAGACCCTCTAATGATGTTGGACTTTTGAGAGTGAGAGATAATGGACATGGTCTAGCTTGGCTAGACATGGAGATGAGCAACAGCAACTTAATGTGACGTAACTAAACACTCATATTTCTCATATTTCTCAATCATATTTCTTATATAAAATCTGAATCATTTCCCGCTTTTCAGTTGATATCCGGTGCCACCTGTTAATCTTTAAAAAGGAACGGCAGATGTACAAAATATTGCAAGTACACCCTATGACAAATGAATATTTATGATAAAGCAAAATAATTTCAATATAACACTAGGAAATTTCATAAATGACAATAAGTTCTAAGTTTGGTTCTTACATTCCAGGGAAAAGAAAAAATATCTTACAGCAAAACGTGTATGTTTTCCCGCTAAAATTTCAGAAAACAGTTAATCTGCACATTAACTAGAGGGATCAGTTAAAGTACGGAAAATTGTTTCATCTCTCAAATTACATAGGTAATTCACGAATTAAGCAGAAAATCTACACATTACCTTATAGACACTCGTTAAAGTGAACATAAGATGAACGACAGCAACATTTCCGTACGCTTAGATTAAATATCTGGCTTTTGATATCTAAAGAATCACGTTGATACTATGTCGTTGTTGTCGTGTGATTCATACCGGGATACATACGAAAGACAAGAGATAGATGAACAGAAACATTCAATACAATTACAGAAGAATATAGACGTTTATTAGAAATGATGATGATCCCAGCATAGAACAGAAGGGTTGCGCTGCTTTCCATTCGAGACGGGAGTCCATTTCAAGCGAACGTCTGACTTATTTTTCAGAAGATACATCCAAGCCTTATTTGGGATTCGAACCCGAAGCCCACTCGATTACAAGCCGAGTGTCAAAACCGCCATACTGATAAGGCGGAAAGTTGATACAATCAAAAAATAAATACATCAGTTGATAGAGAATAGATCATCAATCAATTGAAGAATTATAATACAAGGAATCGAACGGCTTAAAGTATTATTACATATAAGAACACTCACATAGCTTTACTTAATTATTTTTTGATTTCTAAAGAATGAGGATAATACAATCCAGTAAACAACATATTCATTGTTGAAATCAGTCATCAATCAATTGAAATACTTAAATACAAAAATAATTATTATTAAATGTATTATGAGTTATACAAAGAGTCTTTTATCTGTCTCTGCTTCTCTGTTTCGAAATGCTTAGAATAAATTATTCTGGATGAGTCAACGTGTTTTCAATCAAAACTCCTAACAGAAATGAGAAACTTTTAAACTTGAACGATACGGAAACCGGTAAAGTGAAGATTACCTAGTTAAAGTTGTGACGGATCTAAAACGCGGCTCTACTAACCTCTTCAGGACTCTTTAAGGAAAATATTAATTCAACCAACTTTCATCAATTGATTTAAGCGTGGTTATGCAAATTAAGTATATTATTTAAATTCTGTATTCGCGAGTTTGAAGAGTTAGTTGGTTAGTTGGAGAGTGAAGGATCGTGAAATGATTAAGTGCAATCGGAGTTTATCAATTAAAGATATTTAAGAGATGATCAGTCGACGGTGATTAAATTCGGATAAGGATCGCCTTCAAGGATTCAAGTGTACGACTCGACTTCATAAAAGTACAGGTATCGTGATCCTTATTTAAATAGAAGTTTAGCTTATTGGCGCGTGACGTACTTTATATTGAGCTTGTTTAAGTTATCGGGGAATCAGTTGAGGGTCCGTATTAATATCCCCAGGCTAATGAATCTCACCTCCGCGCTCTGCTACCTGATCTGTTATCTTAGACGATTATTGTGTCTGCTTGATATTTCAGCGACCATAAAATAATTAGAGTGAATCATGTCTACTGATTATTCTGTTTCTCGGAGGGTAGACAAGGGGGTTCAGAAGGAAGAAGGAACCGACAGGCAATAAAAAGTTGTAATGAGATCTATTCGGGTCTACGACAAATCGCCTTGAGGAAATATTCTTTAATAGTGATTTTATTTTTAAAACTACTTCCTGTAGTGATGACTTGAATTTTTGTAAACATAATTACTATTTATGTGCCAGTCATTGATTATGCGAGTTAAAAGGTTAATGTTGATTGTTAAGCTGAACTCGAAGTGTTAGTAAATAGCGACTGGTGATGGCGCATATTGAGATTAATATTCGATGGAGAATTAATCAAGAAGTGGTTAAGTAACCAAACTTCAAGCTGACCATACTCTATCGGGCTTTAAGAAGGATCATATACGAGGTTTGTACTCCAGAAAAGTACTTTCAATAATTTAGTTATATGATTATGGGTTATGATTTCATTTTGCTCCCAGAGTTAAGTTTCGTGAAATGCTTAAGATTAAATAAAATTAGCCATTTTTTTTTATGATCATGATTGCTTCTTCCTGGAATCCTCTCACACCCACAGCTCTCATGCTGCGACAAAGTGTGGAAAACACTTGGTTTCACACTTCAACGGACCAAATCAGTTAGGTAATCTGAACATTAACGGTTTTTGAGCTTTAACGGTAACATATACTGGGTATTTATAATTAAGCTTGAAATTAGCGAGCTGTCTATAGCAAAAACTCTACAGTGGAATTGCATGAAAATTGGGTAATGGCAGAATGATATGATGGGAATTTTATCAAGGGGGAAAAACAATTATTTTCAAAAACCACCCGTACGTGGCAAATCATAGCTTTATTGAGAACATATAAATAATCTACAAAAGTTTACAAAACATGCACGATATGCTGCAAACCATTGCCTGATACCACCTGGAAACATAAAATCTCATGTTCGATTGTTGAAAGCAGCCTGAACTGGGGAATGTTACACAAATGGCGTTAGATCATGTAAGTCACGGTAGATCATGACTTTGAGGTATTCCCACAGACAAAAGTTACAAGGATTGAAGTCGGGGATCTAGGAGGTCAAGATGTAGGAAAATGCAGGCTGATGATTCTGTCGTCACCGAAATTGCAGCAGAACACTTGTTTTTCACAAATTGTGATGTGTGGAGAAGAACCGTCCGGCATAACCACTGAGGTTGTATCACATTGCTTTGCCTGCAGCTTCCAAATGGTAGCAGACAATGGTGGACAACATATCGAGCATGTTTCGTAAATTTTTTGTAGATTTATGTTCTCGATAAAGCTATGATACGCCACCTAGGGGTGGTTTTTGAAACTTACTGCTTTTTCCCCTCGATAAAATTCCCATCATATCATTATATCATTACCCAATTTTCATACACACAATTCCGCAGTATAGTTTTTACACTATATATAGATTGCTCACAAATTTCTAATTTAATTATGGACAACTGGTGTATATACCAGCTGAAGTTATACATATATATCGTGATATTTACATTTTTCCAAAGTATTTAAAGCTTTTAATACGTTAAATTCATTTTATATAACACAGAGTCATGAGAAAAAGGGTGATTACGTAACTAAAGTGCTTAATATTTCACATAAATAAGCCCCGATTATATTTTTATGCAATATACGTACAACTCTTTTCACATGAATACTCTTATGAATAAAAGAATGACATTATGGGACATCTCGAAGCTACACTCCCAAATGTCTTTATTTTCCTTATTTTTTACGGGATAGAAAAGTTGGGAGAAAGATCATTCTGTCTGCTTTACAGCGACACCTGTAGGTCGTAAGGAGATGCTGTAAATACAGGCTGATGAAGAGGCCAGTTCAGATCAATAGAAATACTCCAACAGAGTTGGTCTGCTTACAGGAGTCTCTCCTTCCACAACTTTGTATAGATTGGACGTAAACTGACTTCTTTGCTTGCACGTGGAGCAAAGAGGTAAGAATCTTACTTTACTTATTAGTATTGATTTTTTTTACACTGTAAGATTAAGTTATTGAGTATGAATGTTTTTTTTTTCTGAATGAAAATAATTTAGTTTCTTGTTGTTTGAAATTATTTTTTGTCGTTTGCGAGAAGAAAACAGTAAGCCCTTAACGCTTACTTATTTTCAAAAAACCGATAAAAAATCATTTTTAAAAAAAAATAATTTAAGGACATGCCTTTTTAAACCTTGTTTGAGCAAAAAAAAAAAAAAAAAAAAAAAAAAAATGAATAAATAATAAAAAAAAAAAAAATTTTTTTTAATCCACATTGCAGATAAATGCCGAATATTGAAATCTTACTCATATATGTCGACTTCGAATATTTTTCATTTCAAATAGCTGTTTTGAAAAAAAAAACATTTTTATCGGTAAAAATATTTGGCAATACTTTTTAATGGAAATACTATAACAATTGTATATATTTTTAGAAATTATACAACATTTTCTTTGGTGTGATAAATAAAGAAGCAAGGTTCAGAACATAGCCCTATATAGCAATTATTACACATATATCAACTGTTTTTTCCCTTTGGCACCCCTTTTAGCACAAAACACAACTCAGTATCTTGTGGGAGCTTCCTTTCTTGATGTTGGTGGAACAAAACTGGACAAATATGATGTTCCGTTAGTGGTAGAATTCAAGATTGTGCTCTCCACGTCTTTTTTACTTTTGTATCTCTATGATAACTTTGTATAAATATTTCATTAATTTGCTTCTAAAATCTAATTTTTGTTCCACCTATATTTTTTTATGTACAAAGCATATGGGTTAGAAACATTTATGTCTAGCAAATGAAAAAATACTCTTTTTAAAATATACTTATCTAAATTTACAATATACTTATCTAAATTTACAATAAACTTTATCTAAATTTACGAAATCACGAATGACGGATCGCAGCAATTGACGGCGCTCACTTATATTCTGTGAAAATTACAGCAGCATTAAATACGACTCCCCTCGAAATATCTCGAGTGTGCATAATTTAACATATTTAAAGCGATTGAATTAACTCGATCGTGTACGCTAATGAGTTAGTTTGAGGGTATATGTATTTTATTAATTTTTTTTATTATTGTTTTATGATTTTTTTACACGATTCGAGTAACTTGAATTTTAGAAATAAATTACTTTTATTTTTCATATCGTAATACTGTATCAAAAAAATAAAAAAAAAATTACTGATTGAAGTTTTTTTTAAAATTTTATATCGCGTCACTAGACTAAAAAAATTAAATAATATTTTGAAATATGTTTGAATTTGTTGATTTGAATTTTGCAAGAACGATTCCGTTTAAAAATCAGTCCAATTACAAATATAATTAAAATGCAGTAGAAATAAGAAAATGGTATGTTTAAAAACTAGTGAAAAAATCTCAGCTTTCTTAAAAAAAAGTAATTAATGTTTTTTTAAAACTTATTTTTGTTTTGTTTTGGATAGTAACACATTTAGATAACAATCATTCGTAATTTAGCCTGATGTATAAGGAGTTCATCTCTCTTTTGACGAATTTCAACAATTTTTCTGAAATGTATATCACGCAATACTAAATAATGTAACAGGTAAATTAAAAATTTACTGTAAAAAAGAAATAATATATTCATATAATCAAGAAAATATTGATTTCAGTTATTAAGGAAAAAGAAAGATTAAAAGTGCGGTAGTATTACAAATAATGAATTTTTTAAAAACTATAAATCGTTCAATCGATGAGAAATATAATGAAGTAAAAAGTAATAAAAGTATAATGCTTTCGGAATACATACATCAAAGTATTTGTAAAACGTGCATGATCTTTATTTCTAATAAATATATATATGATCAGAACTCTATACACACGTTTGTTAAGTAATATGTTAATTTTAAGTCTCAATTTAAAACCAATCAACTGTGGCACCCCCGTTTGAAAGGGAGCCACTATGCGAGTCATTGAAGTCGAGCAATGACGATATACTCGTCACCATTAGAGTAAGTGTAGATGTTAAAATATTGGATCAGAAAGATGGGTTTGTTTTAAAAA